AAATTTCAAATATGTTTATAAGAATTGATTTTCTTTACTAAAAAAAAAAATTATATGTGGGAAAAAAAAAAAGAAAAAAAGCCAAAACCACGAGCAATGCACGTGTACTCTGCGTTTGGGTCTGGGAACCAAAAATCATCTCTCCCGCCTCTTACCACCCTTTGGCGCTTCCGTTGTTTCAAATCTCGCTCTATTTTTCCGAGGAAAAATGGAGCTAGAGCCAGCAGTCATCGGAAAGAGAAGAAAACACCAAACGCTAAGGACCATCATCGACTAAGGGAGATGGTCGGCGATAACAATTTCGCCAAAACAATCTGTTCAATCTGCTATGAAGATCTCAAACCGATCGTCGAGGACCTCCAATCCATCACCATCTGCGGCCATGTCTTCCACGAACTCTGGTCAGCACATTATATAAGTTTTGTATTTCATGTATATGTTATACACGCCCTAGGAATTTTGTCGAATTTGATGCATTTCGTGTTTGGAAACCCTAGTTTACAGCAGTGGTTCGAGTACTGCGCGAGCTCACCAAAGAAGTACAACTGTCCTGTGTGCAAACAGAAGTGCGTGGCGAGTAATGCTGGTCGGCTTTATTTTCAATCTGTAGGAGATCAATGCTGCACGGCTCCTCCGAAGCCGGTCGATCAGGAAGAAAATGCGGAGGTGTTGCGTGGTGAAGTGAAGAGATTGGCGACGAAAGTCTCAGGGCTCACCTCGGTGGTGGAGCAGCAAGCGAAGGAGCTCAGGGAGGTCAATGAGGAGGTAATCGATTTTGTTGTATCATTTTGTGAAGAGATAAAATCATTGAAGAAGAATTTGTTAGGATTGTGATTGTATTATAATTGTGAAGTAGTTGGTGGAAATTAATATGCACTGAAATTTAGATTGCTTGACACCGGGGAATTCTTGTTTTAGTTGTGTATTTGCAAGGATCAGACCAAGAAGGAACTGGCACTGAAGAATGAGGCATTGAGAGAAAAGGCATCCATTCAGCATAAGCTTGATTCAAAATATGAGGTAATTGTTATGCATTTGTCCATCCGGTGTTCTAGTATTTTTTTTCACCATGTTTTCTGGCATTCTGTTATTGTCAATTCTCAATTGATAGAAAGTTATGATCTAGGAGCTTAGCAAATCAAAATTGGAGTGCTCAAGGCTAGAACAAAGAAACATGGCTTTAGCAAAGGAGGTTGCAGTGCTCAAACTGTGAGTACATGGGTCTCTTTATTACTTGGGCCCTGATTATGATATTAGGATTGCTTGCTTACTGGTTCATATGTTGTATGACAGGGTATCCGATTTGGACCTGGACCAAAATGCGATTGTAAAGCTTGCCTCACTGGGTAACGAAGCCAAAACACAAGATACAATAGACAATCTGAGTTTGTCTTTGGCCAGTCATAAGAAGTAAGTGCATCATGTGTCTTATTCCTCTTTTGCATTCATTTTTAAGCATTTATTATTGTGTTCAAGCCATATGTTTTGATTTTTACTAAATTTCATTGGATTATCAATTTTCTTTTTGCTAAAGTTTATGGATTTATTATTTTGGATTTGAAGGTGGTAGTGCTTATTTTATGAATGATACATGTTCAAAGGGCAGATATTAAGTAAATGGAAACCAAGTATGTTTGTATTTGTTTTTAATAGAAACAATACCGAATGTTCATTTTTCATGTCATGAAAGGAGTATTCTTTATTAAGGTGAATTGTCTTAGTTCCTTTTTCTTCTCTTTGTTTGAACATTATCAATGTTTGCGCTCAACCTTTACGCAGGCATCTCAAGCTTTGCCTTCACTTAGATTTCATTGTTCAATTTGGATAGGAATTACAAAGAATTGATGGCTAAGTGCACTCTTCTTGGTAGAGGTGAAGCTCATTTGCAGAAGAAACTTGAGAAGGCTAAGGAGAAGATAAACAAACTGAAGGTAGATCTGCTATTATGGATCATTATGGAGTTTCCCTGAATAAAAATGTTATTAATTTGACTAACATTATGTTATGTCATGTGGTCTCTATCAGACGAGAATCCAAGAGTTGGAGACAGCAGCTGAAGCAAAAGATAATGAAGTTTTAAGGTCCTTAAAAGCTTCAAAGAAAATGAGTCCTAGAAGTGTCATCTTGAACATAGATGACTGTTCTAATACTTTGATTGCCAAAAAATCTGTGGTGGAAAATCTAATGGAACAATCATTTGTACCTGTAAATAGGACTAATGTGGATTCAAGTGAAATATCACCAGCCAAGAAAACAGAATACATCAGTTCTGTCAGTCCTATAGCTTCAGATCACACTAGAGTTGGAAAAACTATTGAGAAAGAGAGAAGAGTCACGATTATAGATGAGGATGCTCCAAAAGCATCTGTATCTGTGCGTAAACTTTCAAGTCTTGATTTGCAAAATCAAAATGGTGAGAATGCTATTCAAGAGTTTGCTCCATTGTCAAAGACAGTGTCAGATATCAATGGAGAAGCCACAGTTGAAAGGCCAGTAAATATGGTTGGATTTTCAGAACTGAAAACTTGTTCAATTACTGACCCAAAGACTACTGTTGATAGTGTTACAAAACCTATGTTCAACATTAGAAGAGAGACTCCATCCTCACTTTCACTTTCTGAACAAGGTACAGCATTGTTGCCAAATGAATTCACTTGGAGTTCTACTGTTATGTTCCATACAGATTCTATGCTTTAGGTGAATTCATTCTCTTGTCCTAGCTCTTTTTGACTACTTGAAAACCTCCAGGGAATATATGTTTCTCTGGTGGAGTGCTAGGTCCTGATGGAACAAGGTGGCATTTGGGGAAATGGTGCAAGCGTGGCAGGATGACTGGGTCAGTGGCGGCTGCACATGGTTCGACTGCAAATAGTGGAGACTTGATTGCTGTTGGTGCTGATGGTAGAGGTGGTAGAATTAAAGTTATGCGATCCATGATTCAACCTTCCTTGGTGAGTTCTTAAACTAATTCTTCTTCCACTGTAGTTGGTAGAAATATTTCTTCGAATACTAGTCCATCATAA